GAACCATTCGTCCTCGCTTCTTCTCTATCTCTTTTGAATAATGGTGAGTCCACTCATGTGAACTCTCAAACTCGTACCCTTTCCTGTCTTGATCTCTCTCTCTGCTCGTTGTCCCTTTACTTAGATTTCACGTGGCAGGTTCTTCATGACCTCCATAAGTGATCATTTCCCCATCCTCGTTTCCATTTTCTCCTTCCACCCTCCCCTCTCCTTCCCTAGGTGGCAGTTTGCCAAGGCTGACTGGAGCCTATTCACCCTCCATGCTACTCTCTCTGACCTCTCCTCTCTGTCTCTTCCTCGCACCCTCCTTTTTTTTTATGACACTGTCTTCGACGCTGCCCTCCACTCTATTCCTTGCTCTTCTTCTTGGGGCACACGGAAGTGCGTTCCCTGTTGGAATGCGGACTGTGCTCGGGCTGTCCACTGTAAGCGTGCACCCTGGATGAAACACCGCCGCCGGCAGACGGCTGATTCTTTTATTTTGTTTCGGAAGGCAAGTGCGGTGGTCCGTGGGACCATCCGTACAGCTAAACGTGAGAGTTTGAAATCTTATGTTTCCACCATTACGTCCGATACTCCTCTGTCGCAGATCTGGAAAAAGATCAGCAAGATTGCGGGCAAGTTCATTCCAGATGTCTCGCCGGTTCTCCACCTCCATGATACTCTTGTGGCGAACCCAGTGATGGTCGCGACTGAACTGGGTTCCCACCTTTCTTCTGTTAGCTCTGGTTCTCATCTTCCTCAATCCTTCCTTCTTCGTAAGCCTGTTCTTGAATCTTATCCTTTAGATTTCCACACTCATCTCTGCCTTCCCTATAACGATCCTTTCTCTTTCTGAACTTCAGTCTGCCCTGGCCCCTCTGCGGATCTACAGCAGCAGGCTCGGATGATGTTCATTATGAGATGCTTCGCCATCTCCCTCCATGCATGTCTCAGTATTTACTGAGTCTGTATAACCAGGTCTGGGAGTCGTCGTCCGTCCCTGAGGACTGGCTTGATGCCATTGTACTCCCTATTCGGAAACCAGGGTCTCTCGGTATGTCCCCTAAGGACTTTTGCCTTATTGCTCTCACGAGTTGTGTCTGCAAGCTCTTTGAGCGTATGGTAAATGTCCGCCGGATGTGGTTCTTGGAACACCATCACCACCTCTCTCCTCAATTTGGTTTTCGCAAGTGCCGCAGCACGACTGATGTCCTGGTGAACTTGGAGGTCTATATTCGTACTGCTTTTGCTGCGAAGACCTCCGTTGTTGCTGTCCTTTTTGACCTGGAAAAGGCTTATGACACGACTTGGAGATACCATATTCTGTCCCAACTTCGTTCTTTTGGCCTTCGTGGTAATCTCTCTCTCTCTTCCTTCAAAGCTTTCTCTCTCGTCGTACTTTTCGAGTCAGACTTGGTACCATACTCTCTACCTCTTTTCGGCAGTATGAAGGTGTACCCCAAGGTAGTGTTCTGAGTACTACTCTCTTTCTGGTTGCCCTCAGTGGTCTTCTTTCTTCCCTTCCTTCTGGCATCTTCTCCGCTCTTTATGTTGACGATCTTACTCTTTGCTGTTGAGGTGATGATTCACCTCTCCTTCAACGGCAGCTTCAACTTGCGATTGATGATACCTGGTTGATGGGGTTCTGGGAGTTCTTCTACTCCCCAAGCCCGGCCCGAGGCCAGACTTGACTTGTGAGAGTTTGGTCCACCAGGCTGTTGCTTTGAACGGCCCGCAGGCCCACATACCCACCACAGCCCGGTTGGTCCGGCACTCCTTGAAGGAAACAATCTAGTTTCCTCTTGAAGATGTCCACGGTTGTTGCTATTATATTTCTGATGCTCGCTGATAGGACGTTGAACAACTGTGGACCTCTGATGTTCATACAGTGTTCTCTGATTGTGCCCATAACACCTCTGCTCTTCACTGGTTCTATTCTGCATTTTCTTCCATGTCGTTCACTCCAGTACGTTGTTATTTTACTGTGCAGATTTGGCACCTGTCCCTCCATTATTTTCCATGTGTATATTATTTGGTATCTCTCTCGTCTCCTTTCTAGTGAGTACATTTGGAGAGCTTTGAGACAATCCCAATAATTTAGGTGCTTTATCTCGTCTATGCGTGCCGTATATGTTCTCTGTATTCCCTCAATTTCAGCAATCTCTCCAAATGCAAATAGAGGAGCGTGTGCCTATCCGCTCCCCAAGAAGTATGGGACAAAGCCTTAAGTAGTTTAAGGGCCTTAGAGCATTCAACACGGAGGTACGAGATATGGGGCGACCAAGACAAATGAGTGTCAAAGAATAACCCCAAAAGCTTCGCAGAATCTTTGTATTCAAGGGGACGACCATAAAGTGACAGAGGGACGAAGAACCGTGATGATGAACCGATATGATGCTGTGTCATATTGGGCTACCAATCATGGCTTCAAGTTCTCTACTACTAAGACTTGTGCCATGACTTTTACTCGGAAGCGGGTTGTTCTTCGTCCCTCTTTGTCACTTTATGGTCGTCCCCTTGAATACAAAGATTCCGCGAAGCTTTTCGGGTTATTCTTTGACACTCGTTTGTCTTGGTCGCCCCATATCTCGTACCTCCGTGTTGAATGCTCTAAGGCCCTTAAACTACTTAAGGTTTTGTCCCATACTTCTTGGGGAGCAGATAGGCGCACACTCCTCTATTTGCATTCCTCCCTCGTCCTGTCTAAACTCGATTATGGTTGCCCTGCATACTCTCCTGCTTCTCCTTCTACTCTTCGCCGTCTTGATCCTTTGCACCATGCTGGGTTGCGCCTGAGCTCTGGTGCTTTTCGTTCAACTCCTGCCCTCAGCTTGTACTCTGACACTGGCTTCCTGTCTCTCCAGGACTGCCGTGATCGCTACAGTCTTCGTTATCTTTCGCAATCCTTCTAGCATCCTCACTCTCGCCTCTATCATGCTTTGACTTTTACCCCTCCTGTAATTCCTGTTCCTCTTCACCACCTCCCTCTTTCTGTCCGTTTGATTCGCTTACAAGATTCTCTTTCAGTTCATATTACCAATGTTTCTCCTCGTATTGTTCCATCCCTGCCCCCATGGAGGGTCCCCCTTCCCAAATTTTATACTTCTCTGACCCGCATTACTAAAGCTTTTACCCCTCCTACGGTTCTGAAATGCCTCTTCCTTGAGCACTTTTCTTACTCCCACTCCGTTCCCATCTTCACCGATGGGTCTAAGTCTGCTGCCGGTGTGGGCTACTGTTGTTTTTTCTGACCACACTTATGTGTCACCTTCCTCTGGAGGCTAGCATCTTCACCGCAGAACTTTATGCTATTCTCTATGCTCTTTGTCTCCTGCTTTCCCGGTGTTAATCCTCCTTTGTGGTGGTGGTTGACTCTCGTAGTGCCCTCATGGCTTTAGGGTCCTTTAATCCGGTCCACCTGGTGGTCATCAAGATTCAACATTGGCTGTTTCTTATCTCCAGTAAATTTAAGTCGGTTGAGTTTTGCTGGGTTCCCAGCCATGTTGGTCTCTCTTTAAATGAGCGTGCGGATGCTGCCGCTAAGGAAGCTATTCGCACTTGTCCCATCTCCCGTAAAGGTATTCATTATTCCGACTTTTACCCAGTTATTCATGCCTCCGTCCTTGCCCGCTGGCAGAGTTGTTGGTCTTCTGTTATTGGTAACAAACTACATACTCTTAAGTCGTGTGTCCCAGTGGCCTTCCTTCCTACCACTGTAACCGGAGGTGAGAAACGACTCTGGCTAGGTTACGTATTGGCCATACCCGTTTAACTCACGGTCACTTAATGGAGCGCCGCCCTGCTCCTTATTGTCCAAATTGCATTGTCCCTCTTACGGTCGTGCATATCCTTGTTGAATGTCCTGACTTCCAGGACGAGTGTGTCTTGTTTTCCGACCGTCTCCTGCGGTCGTTTGTCCCTCGATAGAATTCTTGGCGACTCGGATACTTTTGATATCGTTCGCCTTATACGTTTCTGTTCTCGTATTGGCATCCTTGGTGATATTTAGCGCCCTCTGATTATCCCACACATTTGATGGTCCTACATAGCCTACAGAAGGTTTGGTGCCTTCTTTTGATAAGTACTTACTTACTTTTTCAGGCCAGGTGTATGGACTACAGCACAATATATATTGTCTAAATAGCTGAACAATGGTTCATTGAGCATTTACGTAACCACTTATGAAACCTGTATTCCGTCTTAATGAGGTTGTCTTTAACAGTAATATCCTTGGGTTGTAAAGTTTCCGAGCTTGTAAACTGCTTAATAAATGTAAACAAAGCCGCCATGATTGTTGAAAGATGTAAGCTTTTCATCAGTAGCTGACAAATCCTGGTCCAGAGTTCCATGATTATCCAGATGGCACAGTGCTCAATGGGCTGGAAGTGTGTGCGCTCTCTGTGAATCTAACATCAAACTTAAATAGGACAAAACCTAATGCCTCTGTTCACTTAGCAAGTACTGTAATTATCAAAAGAAGGCGCCAGGCCAGGAAGACTATGTAGTACTGTTCACCTAACAGTTAAATAAGTATCTGGAGTTAGGCAACTGTAGCGGCTTGTATCACGTAGGTCACAAAGCCTAATTATATGCTTCCTGTCCAAGGTAATGGGAATTATAACTGGAGATGTTTAGAATTTACAATTCACACAATTAAATATATGCATGTTTAAAGAAATTCACATTATTGGATATTTTCAACCTACGTTTAATAATTAGCAAAATTACATTTTAATTGCACTTTTCAATCTAGTTTACGAATTCATGTATATTCCCATAGCAACTTTCTGGCTTGTTATCTTCAAGTTAGTTTAGTACATATAATATGCACCCCATACCCATCCTGTGGGCGGTAGTTGAAAAGGTTAGAGGCACATAATGAGCTCAGGAACTGAATCCCAAAATTCATTTGGGTAAGCAAGCTACAGTCTAGTAAGCTTAAGATTAAGCCACCCAAGAGGTGGCATGGGCATGAATAGCCTTAAGAGTTAGTTACACAATTTAACGTATATATATCAACAGCATGCAAGCCGTGGCGTATATGCAGCAGCAAGAACGGATCTTGCAAATCATCACAGTGCACAGCTGATCAATTGGAAATTTTGCATGGCTGTTCCGGCGACGGGTGTTGGTGCTGCGTCCCTAAAGGTCAGTGGTTGTGTTCTGGAATAGGATTGAAGATGAAATAATTAAATCTACACTAAACCTTTCTTGATAATTTGCCTTTTCAAAAGTAAGAAAATCAGCCATCAATCAATGGGGAGAAAGAGAGGGGACAATTATTCATTTGTTACTAGTTTTATACAATCATGAATGGATTATTAAATGTATTAACTTTCAAATGCATTTCTGTTCCCTTCCCCACTAACAATGGCCCCATCTCAATGCAGTCTGCAGCCTACAAAGTAAATGCAGCATTAAGAACGGCGTCTGCAAGACATCACAGTGTTCAGACAATGAGCTGGAGATCTCACAAGGATGTACAGGCATCGGGTGTTGGTGCTGTGCACCTAAAGGTCAGTACACACTTTATTTATGCAAATTATAATTAGTTTTAAATACCAAAAAAAGTCGGCCATATAACTTTCTCGACATTTCTAAAATCTTTCAAAAAATGTGAAGTATTATAATCTGATGTTGGGTTGAAGTTAAAAGACTTTACTAGTACATACTGTTACTGTGAAAGATGCTTTAAATGTAATCATTTTTATTTGTATTTTGTATTACACACAAGCCCACACTCGCGTGCGGGCATGCATACGTACGTACATGAGCCAGTAAACGTAGTGTAGTGTAAGTCAGGTTTGGAATATTTTAAAATTATGGAAGAAGGGTGGTGCATGAGTTGGAGAAACAGGTAAGGTACTCCAGTTGATGAGAGTTCCTTAATACCATAAACTGCAAGTTACTGCAGAGGGGGAGACCTCAGATTGACGAGATATCACCAGCAGAGTCCCACAGGTTTGTTCTTGGACCTATCCTGTTTCTCATCGATCTTCCAGAAGGTATAAACTTGTTCTTCTCAATGTTTGCGAATGATGAGGGAATTAGGAAAAGGATTAGGACAAAGGAAGACAGCATTAGACTAGAAGACGACGGTTCGGTAAAGCTTGTTTTCTATTTAAAACCGTATATATCGTTTGATTAGGATGTATTAGGTTGGGCTTGGCTTGGTTATGCTAGGCTCTGTTAAATTGGTTTGGGTTAGGTTGTGCATGATTAGGTAGGTTGTAAAATCCGTTGATGACCCGTCTTGATTGATGATTGATAAAGATTAAGTCACCTAAGAGGTGGCACGGGCATGAATAGCCCGTAAGCGACCCGTCTTAGTACGGTGTGGCTTATATCCACACTCAGATGAGATTCCCAAGCTTCTGGCAACCCATTATCACATCACATTATACTTCATTATTATAGTATATTGTATTATTTATTTAGTAACTTCCCGCATGCCTTCCAAAATATTACTTTATGCTGATAGATAGTAACGTACGTACACAGCTTTAGTTCAATCCCTGACTACAGATATGAGTATAATAAAAACTATTGAATTATAACCTAATATACTCATAAATTACGGGCTAGTTTTCTAATTCGAATTATTAACTTGGAACTATTGTCCAACGCTAACAAACTCAATATCATTGCAGTTTGCACACCAATAGCTACGTGTATTAGCAAGAACGGCTTCTGCAGGACATCACAGTGTTTAGCTGATGAAGTGTTGATCCCACAAGGCTGTGCAGGGGACGGGTGTTGGTGCTGCGCCCCTAAAGGTCACTAGCACTAATTACGTTTTTAAATTATGTGTATTTTCCGAGGCTAAATTGTATAAAAATGTGTCTTTGACGTTTCCTGATCACCCTTTCCTTCGACTTTTAAATGTGCAGATCTTGTGCACGGTCGCAAAGTGTCAAGAATGCATCGGTGAAAATGTTTAATTGAGGGATGTTAAATGCTTTAAAATAATCTGATCATTCGGTTTTGCATTGAGGGATTTTATGACTATTAAATATGAGCATTATCATTTGCATTTAATCTGACCCAAAATACACTACAATAATATATTGATTTTCTTGTCCTGAACCTTCCACTAAGCTTAACAACCTCTCTTATACATTACATACTTCCAGGATGCATGGATAACATCCCTGGATGTTGTAACATCCAAGGAAGTTATAACATTAAAAAAAAATGGCCCCAGTATAAGGTCCCATCAATGGAGCTAGATTTAAGCCTAACTTGTATGAATACACTCTGGCTTCCTGTCCCTCGACACAGTGAATTATTATTAATTATAATGTGTAAGGCACTTGAAAATAATTTGGCAAATATGAGGTTATAAAAGAATAACAACGTTTCGGTCAGTCCTGGACCATTATGACTCGATAATCATCCAGGACTGAGTGAAACAATATTATTTTAATTTTTGATGTGTGGTTTTGGCATGTGTTGAAAAGTTATACCTCCGCCAGTTACCGCCCTGCTCCTGTGCCAGGTAAGTCCACTACGGGCTCACTATAGCCAGTGCTACTTGCAACTTTTTGTTCAGAGTAGCTGAATTTTAAACACCCCCCTCCGGCAGCCAGAGGTGTTTGGGGATAAAGTGGCAACGTTATGGTAACGCTTAAGATTGAACACCTTTCCTTATCTCTCCCAAGTGCTATTTAGTCTGTAGCAACTATATCGTAAACGTACATTACAAGTCGTCCTGGCTTATCGCTTTCTCAACATACTTGCCTTCCCTTTTCAGTCACACTGAGTGGGCATTCTTCAGAATAGTCATATCTCTGATGATGATAACCTTTTAGATTTTTTTGGCGTCTCTTTATTAGTTTTCTTTTCTTGTCTTTTGCCATGGCGTTGATCCTCGGGGTTGTGAAAAGTTACTCAACTCGTTCAAAATGTTGTCAATGTTTTAAATTTGAATGGTCAAGGTTGTGGAAATTGCGAAATTGAGAACATGTTCTGACATCGTCATTCACTCCTTTGCCTTAGAAACACAACGGGATGGTGTGAATGATATATTTAGAAGCATTCAAATACAATTTCTGAACTTGCAGCTGTACCTCATCCCTAACAAAGTCTTATGTCATTACAGTCTGCCTTCTACAGCGTATATGTAGCGATAAGAATGGTGTCTGCAGGACCTCGCAGTGTTCAGCTAACGAACTGGAGATCACAAAAGGCTGTATAGGCAACGGGTGTCGGTGCTGCGCTCCCAAAGGTCAGTATAGCAATCCTTACATATTGTTAGTTAACAAAAATATTAATATGCAAGTTAATACATAGTCCGCTAATGATGGTTCTCTTTAATTGTTGTTGATTTATGGGTCATGATGGCACTGGTGCTGGACATCATAACATATCCACGTCCGGGAAAACTCAAAGCTCTGCGGCTTCGTCACCAGTCGGCGGAAAACAACTCTTCCTTGCGACTGTAAACACATGATGCGGCAGGTGCTTGGCAAAACCCCTAGCCTTCCCCAGGGAGGTGAGCGCCGGAAGCAGTTCAGCTCGAAGGACTATCTGAAAGACACCCAGTGACTTTATAACAAAATAAAATTCAGGCATTCTTTGAACTCTGAATCGTGAAAAGAAATGTAGTGTAACTGCAGAAGCAGAAATCATGAATGTCTACCCTAACACAAGCCTGACTGGAAAAATGTAACAATAGCTTCCACTGACTTCCAGTGCAGTAATGAGCCAAACTCGGCCAAGCTAGCGCCTGGAATTCCCCCCTCTGCCCAAAAATCGAACTGGAAACCATATACATTTGTAAACTTGTTACTCCTGGTGATATGCATGATATGGCCGCAGCAATTCTGGCTGATAAAGAGGAACGCCTAACGACAGTATCGTCCCAACAGGCAAAAACGACAGTACGGTATCTGGCAACCCCAAGCAGAGACAGTCAAACTTCCGCTCAGACATTTAGGTTGAACCGGAAATTCTTTCTCTGCAATTTATTTGTCAAAAGTTCTAAGCTCTCACATCTCGTGAATGATGGCTAGGTTACAAGTGTTGGCAAAACACTTGTAACCACAAAATGTGTTTTAACCCTTGCACTGCTCACCTATTTTCGGCAAAAACGTCTTGGTGCAATTGTCAAGGACATATTTTTGTTATTTTTACAAATGTTCAGGTAAATTTAATGTCAAAATGTTTCCAAAGTCAACTATTTCCATTTCAAAACACAAATAGTAATGAAAACATTAAAAAACATTAAAATATAGCCAAATTAAAAAACAAAAAGCACAACTCTCTGAGCGCCTAAAGGCGCTTTGCGCAGTGCAGTGGTTAAACTAATCCAGTCACATAAACTGTGGTTTTTGCATATACTGTACAGGTGTACTATCTCATATAAGGAGAATATTGAACCCAAAAATAATCTCATTAATAAATACTTACTTCTAAATTTTATTACCCAATATGTGTCATAACCTTGCAGCTTTAGCTCAGACCTCAGCAACTCTCCATTCATCTCATTACAGTCTGCCGACCACAAAATAAATGCAGCATTAGCAATGGTGCGTGCGGAACATCAATGTGCTCAGTTGATCAGCTGGACATCCCTGATGGTTGTATAGGTGACGGGTGTAAGTGCTGCGCCCCTAAAGGTTAGTAGAACTAATTATGATTTGCCAAACACACACATTTTGATCAGTCCTGGACCCTTATCACAACTTGGAATGGGTCCAGGATGGACCGAATGGTAATGGTAATTAACAGAGTGCACTGAAGTCAATACGACTATATAATACTTGGAGAGGATGTAAGGACACGGAGCTGGGTTAGGAGGACGGCGTGAAGGAACAGTGCCCAACCACTTGGGCCATTGGTTATCGAACGCCAACCTGCAAGGCCATTGTTGTACCCACTACTCCAAGTAGATGTACATTTGTGAATTTTATAAACTCCTTTAATTACACACAGCGTTTTAAGTTTAACCTTAGATAATGAGTAAATTGGTTTTGTATTTTTGGGGGTCGTACTTAATACTGTACTGCAGATAAGTCGCAATAATGTGGCTGAAATTTTTTTTAATCAAACCATACGCTGCAAAATGAAGAGACGACGATGTTTCAGTCTGTCCTGGACTATTGTCAAGTCGATTAACTATAATAGTCACAATCGACTTTATAATGGTCCAGGATGGACAGAAACGTCGCTGTCTCTTCAATTTCTATCTTTTTTTTTCTTCTTTTCTACCACAGACGTGGCCACACATTTACAATGCTAACCAGCATATATACATTTTCTTTTGTCGTCCATGGACAGGGTTAGAGATGTGTTAAACATATAGTTCAGGGGTTTATTGAACAATCAACCACAGAAGGTGATTCGGTGCTTTTAAAATGCTAAGCTAACCTACGTACATAAATACATAGATACACAGATTTACGTATGTCCTACATAAAGTGTTCGATGTGTCTTTTACATTGTGTCATTAATGTGCATTTACAAAGGTGAAATGTAATTCTGATCAACTTC